TTTACGGGTAACCTGCTAATGCAATACTGAAATATAGGTTAACATAGTGGATATATCGCTTCAAAATCGCTAATCACTGACTCGTTTGATTTAATGTGGTCCTGAGCAATCCTAATCATGTGGCGGATCGAAAAAAGGAATTTAATTTAAATTTCACATGCTCACTAACAAAGTGATATTTCCACTGGGTTAACAGCAACTAATGACAACACAGTTTGACAGAAAGACTGGACAAGGGACGACACAAACGACACTTTACACACACTGTTTTAAACGTTTGTGGAACATCAATGTCGTAGACCTCTTCAACAAGTTTTTGGTAATATTTAAATACATTGCATGAATTAACTTATTAAAATGCAGTAAAGCTAATCTATGCACATATTTCTCTTTGTTGTTAAAAGGGGAGGGGGGAGGCATTACCATTTTCCTGTAAGAAATCTGCCAAATATATCAGCACTATACCAGCGAGGTGGGAAAATACTAGCTCAAGCGTGCGTGCAAGGGCTGCAAGCATTCAGTGAAGCACTATTCACAAGAAAGCTTAAAAATCCTGCAATAGAATTATAGTAGAGAACCTTCCTGTTTTGCTATGCATGAACCCAACAAGTTACCCAACATTTAACTTGTGAAGCATCTTTGACTGTAGGGATTGGCACTATTTAACACTTGCAATAAAGCTTGTCGATTTCAGTGTCAGAGGTGTTATATATAGACAAGCAGGATGTTGCCACGGTATGTTCAATGGAGGATCTAGAATACCGAACTATAACTAAAGATTTATCATGTAGCAGGAAGGGTGTAAAACAGAAATCATTAAAAAACTGAAAAATTTAGATGACTGTTTAAATGTCTTATATGTAGTTTTTATGAGCTTTCTAGTGATGCGAGTCATTTTGGTGACTGTTTAAATGTCTTATATGTAGTTTTTATGAGCTTTCTAGTGATGCGAGTCATGAGTGAACTTGAAATTTCACGTTTTTTTAACAATATGGGAGTAATACGGAAATCGAAAAAAACCTTGTCAATTCAAGGCATTTTTTAATACCATGGATTGGTGGGGCATTTGCCCCACCGGGCCCCTTCCTCTGCCCCACCACTGAAGAAAAAAAATCGCCTATTGCCCCAAAGCTAGGGCCTTAAGACCTGTATGTTGAGTAAATGAATTCAACATTGAAAAGAAGTTTCCAAAACAAAATTTGTTGATGAGCTGCATGAGCATACTTAAAATTAAACTTTTGTTGTGTTTGAATGTTTAGCATGCAATTTATTACAAATTTCACCATTAAAACTTTGTTTTGCTCCAAGAGGATACATGGGGACTTTTAGTATATTGTTCAGGATAGTTAAAGCTAGATTACAGTCCATTCTGCGCATGTGCGGGCTTTGTTTACATTTTTTGTTTTGGTTTGGATCCACTTCAATTGTATAATATGAAGTATAGCGGCTATGCACTATATAAATGGAGTCCGAGTCAGGAGTGGAGTTGTTAATTTTTTTAAAATTGTCTTCTGAAAGACAAGCAATTAAATATTTTGAAATATCATGAATGGAAGATATATTGTTGATCAATTCGGCATTTGTTTTTTGTGTGCCTCGTTGATGAAACATTCAGAAGAGACCGACAAAGCCGACCAAAGGTGCGAGTCATTGTGTTGATTATATTAATGTTCGGCATTGTAAAATAAACTTTGGAAGTGTCAAAGTAATCACTAATTTTTCCTTGGGGTATTTGTTCGTCAAAACACATTGCCAAAGTCATTGCTGCTGTCATGGCAGAAGCACTCGGAGAAAGCTTTTCGCTGGAAGAATTGGAAACGATATGTTCATGTCGCGGCTTGCTCCAGCGGGGCCTCCAGCTTCTGTCTTCGATAGAGTATGGGTATTTTTTGCTCAAGCGCGTGCCGCGAAGAGGATTTTGATACATGTATGAACAATCGAAGGACAGATGGTGAGTTTGTATTATTGCTATTAGTTATATACTGTTCGTTAGAAACGTGCTTCACATGTAATCTTATTGTATTTGTTCATTAGTTTATAACTTTATATATGTTTTGTTAGTTTATACGCAAAAAAATGTGGCCTGAGCAATGGTTCATTTGAGAATATGTAATGTTGTTCACCGCGATAGTTCACTCAAAGGATAATGATTATCTAACAATAGCTGGGTAAACTTTGTTTACATATTTTGATACTTTGCCTGTCAAAAATATACACAGATACTTATATTTCTGAAAGCTTTAACCACTGGCTTTAACACACATGATTTGTTTTTATTAAATACCCCACATAATTATGCATATCCTTGCCGGGTAAAATATCAAATTATGTAAAAAGGCTTACCTGTCTATATACAAGTGTACATAGCTGTGAAAATGCAGTAATTTGGTGGTAAGAAATATCTGTGTTTCACTGTGCTTGAGTCTTTGCATTTAATTAATGATAAATATATTCATTTCAGAATCTTGTGGAAGCAATGGATTTAAATGCCCTTTGAAGAGCATTTGCGTTAGAGCTTATACAGCATCAGCCAGCATTTGTCAATTTGGTAAATTGCCAGGTGAACCGCTTCAACCAGACCCAGCTACGAAAAACCAGAAAATGCCTCAGAGTATTACAAATGTGGATGCTGTGTTGCAATGCCAACAAAATGGGTAAACAAATGCTGTACACAATCAAGACAGCCTTGCATAACCGCCTAGCCCTCTCTTCTCACAGTGGCACAGTTAGTACTTGATGGAAATGTTCGATCTGGACATGGCCATGCATTAGAGAGATCATTGAGGGAAACTTTATTATTCATTAATCCATTTTACTGCAATTATCTCCCCATGACAGGGAGGATCATTTTAAATATTTTGAAAGAACTTGGGTAATTCACACCTGTTAAGGCCCGTTCACACAAGCGATTTTAAACTTTGATTTTCTCCTTTTGGCATTTGTGTTTCAGCAAAATTACAGGAAACATTACTTTGCATGGCTTGATTATTTACTCTAACACATACACCAAAAGAAGAAAATTGCAGTTCAAAATTGCTTCAAACTTATTATAAGCTTTCTCTGTCTACTAACCACAGCAAATTTTGCTAACAAATGAAAGCCTTTATCATGTTAATGGTTAAATGTTTATGAACAGTAATATTTCATTATATAAAAGACCAGTTATCAAATACATTGGATGTTCAAGCACAACATTTTGTATATTGACATTGATTTTTTTATTCTTTAAAATTACTCCTTGCTCCTTACTTCAGTCCTGAAAAGTGTCTTGCTGTGCACCGAAGATCAATGAATCCAATATGGACACCCTGGCTCAGTATTGGGGTCCAGGGGTTTGTAATCAGATTTCCTTCTCCTAGGTGGATTGCCTTTCAGGGATTATGAGCTCCACCTAACAGAGCACTTTGTTTTAACTCCACCTAACAGAGCACTTTGTTTTAACTCCACCTAACAGAGCACTTTGTTTTAACTTGTCTACAGTGATCAGTTGAATTTATACTGATGGGTTTCAACAAGTTCTTTGACTGAAGGAGGAGGGACAGGGGTTATGTTAGGAGCGATTTGCCTTCGGTAATCACTTGCAACACCATTCCACATATCTAAAGAAGACTTATAATTAGTTTTATTCCTGTTTAAATGCTGCTGACAAATGTGTTTTAAAAACACTCAAATGGCTTTTTTCAAGCCACATTTTGATTTGTTAATAATGTTCATGCAAATCAAAATTTGGCTTTCCAAAAAGCCTTAAGTGCTCTTAAAACACGTCAATCAACATGCCTACAGAACGATCAAAATATTTGTTTGAAAATGTGATATGAAGAATATGGAATTTCATAATGAAAAGTGAAAACTAAAAGTCACTTTTTTTCTCACTAGGATTCAGGAAAGCATAAAATGTTATACATACCTTCATTATAAGTTGTAGGATGTATTCGTACTGCCTAGGAGAATCTTTAAGAATCTTTATATGGCTCCATTGCTGTTTCTTCCCCTTGCTGAACATATACTGGCAATGGCTCATGTCTGCATTGTATTGTTTCATCTGGCTACTGATCCGTCTGGGTTTCCACAGCGCTATAAGTGAACAATAAAATTTTGTAATGAGGAAATATAACAACATTAACATAACTGAAATATCCAGGGATATGTGTTATGTGCTTACCACAATTAAATCCGTCTTGATGTTTTGTATACAGGATTACAGGCTCGATCAGCATAGTATTCGCGAACCCTCGTCACTTTTAATTCCAGCTTCAGTTTTGAAATGAGTTCACCGACAAATAGTATCATTAAAGTAGATTTTCGTTGCATACCTTTTCGCGAAATGTTCTTTTCGATTTCCTGGTTGGTTTTGGCGACCAGCATTAGAAGAATTTGCCTTTGAAGTGGACGGCTCTATTATATAACTCTTACGAGTCGGCCATTTTGAGCGCGCATATCCGAATAAGGACTGGAGAGCACACAAAATCAAAACAAGTGTGCTCACATTTGTTTACATTTTTGACACATGCGCAGAAGCGACTGTAATCTAGCTTTAAAGGGGAAGTCAAGTCCGTTCTGCGCATCTGTTCTGCGCATAACAATGAGAGGACCTCTAATGTGAAAATTGCCCAAATTTCGAATGTTTCGAATTTTTCTGAACATAAACTTTATTTCATATTCATTTAGAAGCATAGCGAACCAAAATGGTGTTAGATATTCAGACAGTACATCATATTTAAAAAAATGCAGCAGTTCAAAATGTAAACAAACCGTTTGTTTACATTACGGACTTGACTTCCCCTTTAAGTGATTGCATCTAACAATTTTTAGCTTTTTACTATTTTTTTCCAACCTTGGCCTTAAAATGAGCTAAAATTACTGAACTAATTGTTCTTCACAAATAGAGCGTAAAGCCGGTTTTTCACTAGCCTGCGTGCAGACTTTTCACCCCAAAGAAAGATCCTGGGTACGAGGTTGACTTTTCACGTGCGAAGCGAATTTTTCATTTGTCTTTGGTTTCTCAATTGGAACCACCTGGAACTAATTGCCAATTGGATAAAGACAAAAGAAAAATGGCCTAACTCAAAATCGAACTTTTATTTCGAAGGCTTTCCTCAGCATTGGCTACAGATAGTTCGAATTATTACTACGGTAATTGACCAATCAGATACAAGTATTGTCAGAACGTAACCAAAACAAATCAAAACTATAAATATGGCGGCATAGAAACATGAAACTGTGTAAATAGTGCCAGCTGATAATAACTCAAATTTTATTTTCAATATTTACATATGAGTATGTTAATGAACACTGAGGTCTTTATCACTTTACGTGCTAGATATTTCATCCTTTGATAAACTGACACTGTTATAATATGTTAAGCGTTGAAAGTAACTCGAAGAGGCGAAAATCTAAAACTTTGATATCAGCCAACAACTCGAGAAATGAAGACGATTCCAGGCGGCGTTCAAGTGATCTCGGCAAGGCAGCCTCAACGAGCAATAACGAATCTGTTCCATTTGACAACTTTCAGCATATAATTTACGAAAAAGCCGCGATTATTTATGCGTATTTGAAGGGCGAAGCAAACACTGTTCTGCCAACATTTCAAGACGAAAGGGTAAAGCGACGAGCATATAGTCTCGCATTTGGTGCCAAGAAATGTAAGCAAATTCTTGATACATACATTTGTTGCTTAGGTACATTATGCGTTGTTAAGTGCATATTATAGTTTCTAATGAGCGTATTTAATGTGTTATAGGTTCCTAACAATTGGGTGCTATATGAGACTGTATATTAATACACTGTATAACAATGCGTCTGAAATATTCAACTTCCCAAACCAAGTTTGAGAAACTGAGAAAGTGTTCTGTAGATCTATGTTCAGTTTTAATTCATTTATCGGCAGACCTGTTTATAGATTTAGCAATCATTTTTCATTAACATTCGTCGATTTGTTTAGATAGACTGTCCAATGAAAATTGGAGTATGAAATTAATTTTTTGTTATCCATTCATGAAATCCATTTGATAATCCCTAAAATTGGAAAACTGATTACTTAACCATTCGAGGCTGTTAATGACATATGTATGTAAATTCTATTTTAAAGCTCTCCATTTATCTGTTAATCCAGGGATTAACAGGCCTGAGAGATTTTAAAAATTGTTCACTGCACTAGTGCTGTATATTATGCACATTAATGATTGAACGGTTTGTAGATGGAAATTACAGGTGTATCGAGTGTATAAATTTTCTATACATTTATTAGACCTAACCAGGAACACTGAGAAAAATGCAACTACTGTATACGTCCTCTGACTGGAATCAAACCTGTGCCGTGGCCATGCGATTCCGGTTGGATAATCAACTGAGCTACAAGGTCCAGTTGTCGTTCTCTAACCACAAGTTCATGTATATATTATACTAGGGTACTGCCATGTTAATGTATGGGTAAATATCTTGTAGCTCAGTTGGTTAGAGCGCCACACCAGAATCGCAGGGCTGCATGCAGGTTCGACTCCTGCCAGGGACCAACAGTTGCATTTTCCTCAGTTGACTGTTCCTTAGTCCTCAGAGGTGTAACTTAACACTTGCCCGGGGCAAGTGAATATCATGACGGGCAAGTAAACATTTTATCTTGATTGTCCAACTGGGCAAGTTGCCTTGCCACAAAAATCTGGGCATCCTTAAGTTTAATATGTTTTCATTTTCAGATATAACTTTTTTATTAATTCAAATTTTCTTGGGCCAAAGCTAGATCTGAGGCAGTATAACAGAGCCATATACAGCAGTGGGAGAACGGGTTGACATGTTCTCCCCTTAATGACCTTGTCTGATGGCAAGTGAATCTTATCTGACAGGGCAACTAATTTTCATGTCCAACTTGTCCTGGCAAGTGGTCAAAAAACTAACGTTACACCACTGAACTTGCCAACAAACTTGCTACAAATCTATTGCAAACACATCTTGTTGACAAGTTGTTGGAACAGCATTGTCACAACTTGTTAACATGCTTGCTACAAGCCTGTTGGGGAGGCATCCTTTTCACAAGTTGTCGAAAAAACAGCATTCCAGTCAAACCTACATAATTGCAAACACATCTTGTTGAAAAGTTGTTGGCACAGCATTGCCACACTTGTTAACATGCTTGCTACAAGCCTGTTGGGGAGGCATCCTGTTGACAAGTTGTTGAAGCAGCATTGCAGTCACAACTTGTTAACAAGCTTGCCACAAACCTATTGCAAATACATCTTGTTTACAAATTGTTGGAACAGCATTGTCACAACTTGTTAACAAGCTTGCTACAAGTCTGTGGAGGAGACATCCTGTTGAACAGCATTGATACAACTTGTTAACAAGCTTGCTACAAACCTACAGTATTGCAAATACATCTTGTTGACAAGTTGTTCGAAAAGCATTGTCACAACTTGTTAATAAGGTTGCTACAAACCTATTGCAAACACATCTTGTTGACCAGTTGTTGGAACAGCATTGTCACAACTTGTTAACATGCTTGCTACAAGCCTGTTGAGGAGACATTCTGTTGACAAGTTGTTGAAACAACATTGCAGTCACAACTTGTTAAGAAGCTTGCTACAAACCTATTCCAAACACATCTTGTTGAAAAGTTGTTGGAACAGCAATGCCACACTTTGTTAACAAGCTTGCTACAAACCTATTGCAAACACATCTTGTTGACAAGTTGTTGGAACAGCATTCTCACAACTTGTTAACAAGCTTGCTACAAACCTACAGTATTACAAACACATCTTGTTGACAAGTTGTTGGAACAGCATTGTCACAACTTGTTAACAAGCTTGCTACAAACCTATTGCATCTTGTTGACAAGTTGTTGGAACAGCATTCTCACAACTTGTTAACAAGCTTGCTACAAACCTACAGTATTACAAACACATCTTGTTGACAAGTTGTTGGAACAGCATTGTCACAACTTGTTAACAAGCTTGCTACAAACCTATTGCAAACACATCTTGTTGGCAAGTTGTTGGAACAGCATTCTCACAACTTGTTAACAAGCTTGCTACAAACCTACAGTATTTCAAACACATCTTGTTGACAAGTTGTTGGAACAGCATTGCCACAACTTTGTTATTAACAAGCTTGCTACAAGTCTGTGGAGGAGACATCCTGTTGACAAGTTGTTGGAAAAGTATTGTCACAACTTGTTACGAAGCTTGCTACAAACTTATTACAAACTCATCTTGTTGTGGCAAGTTGTTGGAACAGCATTGTCACAACTTGTTAACATGCTTGCTACAAGCCTGTTGAGGAGACATTCTGTTGACAAGTTGTTGAAACAACATTGCAGTCACAACTTGTTAAGAAGCTTGCTACAAACCTATTCCATACACATCTTGTTGAAAAGTTGTTGGAACAGCAATGCCACACTTGTTAACAAGCTTGCTACAAACCTATTGCAAACACATCTTGTTGGCAAGTTGTTGCAACAGCATTGTCACAACTTGTTAACAAGCTTGCTACAAACCTATTGCAAACACATCTTGTTGACAAGTTGTTGGAACAGCGTTCTCACAACTTGTTAACAAGCTTGCTACAAACCTACAGTATTACAAACACATCTTGTTGACAAGTTGTTGGAACAGCATTGTCACAACTTGTTAACAAGCTTGCTACAAACCTACATTATTTCAAACACATCTTGTCGACAAGTTGTTGGTCTGGAACAGAATTGTCACAACTTTGTTATTAACAAGCTTGCTACAAGTCTGTGGAGGAGACATCCTGTTGACAAGTTGTTGGAAAAGTATTGTCACAACTTGTTACGAAGCTTGCTACAAACTTATTACAAACTCATCTTGTTGTGGCAAGTTGTTGGAACAGCATTGTCACAACTTGTTAACATGCTTACTACAAGCCTGTTGAAAAGGCATCCTGTTGACCAGTTGTTGAAACAGTATTGCAGTCACAACTTGTTAACAAGCTTGCCACAAACCTATTGCAAATACATCTTGTTTACAAATTGTTGGAACAGCATTGTCACAACTTTTAATAAGCTTGCTACAAGTCAGTGGATCCTGTTGACAAGTTGTTGGAACAGCATTGTCACAACTTGTTAACGTGCTTGCTACAAGCCTGTCGAGGAGACATCCTTTTCACAAGTTGTCGAAACAGCATTCCAGTCAAACCTACATAATTGCAAACACATCTTGTTGAAAAGTTGTTGGCACAGCATTGCCACACTTGTTAACAAGCTTGCTACAAACCTATTGCAAACACATCTTGTTGGCAAGTTGTTGCAACAGCATTGTAACAACTTGTTAACAGGCTTGCTACAAACCTATTGCAAATAACTTGTTAACAAGCCAAGCTACAAACCTATTGCAAACACATCTTCTGGAGACGTTGTTGGAACAGCATTGTCACAGCTTGTTAACAAGCTTGCTACAAACCTATTGCAAACACATCTTGTTGAGAAGTTGTTGGAACAGCATTGTTACAACTTGTTAGCAAGCTTGCTACGTCCTTGTTGAGGAGTCATCTTGTTGAAAAGTTGTTGGAACAGCATTGCAACAAGTTGTTAGCAAGCTTGCTACAAACCTATTGCAAACACATCTTTTTGAAACGTTGTTGGAACAGGATTGTCACAACTTGTTAAGAAGCTTTCTATAAACGTTGTTGGAACAGCATTTTGTCACAACTTGTTGACAAGGTTGCTACAAACCTATTGCAAACACATCTTGTTGAAAAGTTGTTGGAACAGCATTGCCACAACTTGTTAACAAGCTTGCTACAAACCTATTGCAAACAAGTCTTGTTGAGAAGTTGTTGAAACGGAATTGTCACAACTTGTTAACAAGCTTGCTACAAACCTATTACAAACACATCCTGTTGAAAATTTGTTGGAACAGCATTGCCACAACTTGTTAACAAGCTTGCTACAAACCTACAGTATTGCAAGCACATCTTGTTGACAAGTTGTTGGAACAGCGTTGATACAACTTGTTAACAAGCTTTCTACAAACCTATTGCAAACACATCTGATTGACAACTTGTTGGAACAACATTGTCACAACTTGTTAACTTGCTTGCTACAAACCTATTGGAAACACAACTTGTTCACAAGTTGTTGGAACAGCATTGTCACAACTTGTTAACAAGCTTGCTACAAAGCTGTTGCGAAAAATCTTGTTGAGAAGTTGTTGGAACAGCATTGGCACAACTTGTTAACAAGCTTGGTGCAATCCTGTTGAGGAGACATCTTGTTGACAAGTTGTTGGAACAGCATTGTCACAACCTAGAGAGGTGTAACTTAACATTTGCCCTCTTGCCGGGGGCAAGTGAATATCATGACGGGCAAGTAAACGTTTTACCTTGCTTGCCAGCTGGGCACCTTTAAGTTTATGTTTTTATTGTCGGATATAAGTGCATGTACTATTGTTCCCAGTAAATTGCGAAACGACCGTTTTTTTAGGCGGTTTGTCAGTGACAGTTTTGTCAATTACGAAGGACATATTTGTGTACCTCGTGGTCACAACTCGTTGCAAGCAGCGTGTGAAAAACTGCAAGTTTCAGTTTGACAGTTCTGACAGTTTAATGGTTTCTAATTTTATTGTCCAATCAGATGCGTAGTTTTGATTTAAAATTCAAAACTACGCATCTGATTGGACAATAAAATTAGACACTCATTTAACTGTCAAACTGAAACTTGCAGTTTTTCACACGCCGACGCCGCTTGCAACGAATTGGGATCACGAGGTACACAAATATGTCCTTCGTAATTGTCAAAACTGTCACTGACAAACCGCCTAAAAAACGGTCGTTTCGCGTTTACTGGGAACAATAGTACTTGATTCAAATTTTGTTTTTCTTGGGCCAAAGCTAGGTCTGAGGCAGTATAATATGGCCATATAGAGCAGTGGGAGAACGGGTCGACATGTTGTTCCCTTAAATTATACCCCCTGCCCAGGTACCCCAGTGGCCATTGTCTGATGGCAAGTGAATTTTATTCATGCAGGGCAACTAATTTTCATGTCCAACTTGCCGGGAGGGCAAGTGGTCAAAAAAGTAAAGTTACACCACTGGGACTCCTAATAAATGTAATACTATATAAATTTCCTCTCGAAAATTTACATCTACAATTTCCTTCAACTATTATTCAATCGAGTGAGGTCCAAACAAAATCTTCATATTTACCCTAACATTTATTAATAGTGTGTTTTGTTGACTCTGAAAACTTAGAGAGAGGGTGTTAACTGGGCTAGGTTGATTTGTACCTTATCAGACGTGTTAACTTTACATGAGAGGAATTAGATGTCGTGCTAGAGCTCATTTAAAATATCCAGATATGATGCTTGTGATGTTACTCTGAGTGTATATCCACACCGAGCAAGCTTGAAAAATATGCCTGGCCACGGTGGAAATCGAACCTACGACCTTTACAATACTAGCCCAATGCTCTGCCAACTGAGCTACGCGGTCAGAACGATTCGAGTATGTGATATTTCGGAACTGAGTCTAGTTCCTTCTATATCTATGCAATATTACTAGATTGCTAGATTGCATGAACTAGACTCAGTTCCGAAGGAACTAGACTCAGTTCCGAAATATATCACATACTCGAACCGTCCTGACCGCGTAGCTCAGTTGGCAGAGCATTGGGCTAGTATTCCAAAGGTCGTACGTTCGATTCCCACCGTGGCCAGGCATATTTTTCAAGCTTGCCCGGTGTGGATGTACACTCAGAGTATTATCACAAGCATCATATTCACCTGAGTACATTACACCAACACAGGAAAAATCATATCCAGATATTTTAACAATGTTGTTCCATTTTGTAACAATGCCTTAGTTATATTGTTCGCATAGTTCGCAATGATCAACACGCACGCATGCTATATTTCTTATCACACACAAAAAATTATACAAGAGCCTGGGTTCTAGTGTTCAACATTTCGCGAGAGCGCTTACATACTGTATCTTTAACCTTTACCATTTTTGTCATTTTATATACTGGACTGTTATTTTTTATATTGGACTGCCATATATGATGTAATTTATACTGATTGTTTAAAAATTCCAAAAGCGTTTTGCAAGTCGAGATTGTCTTGCACCGAGATTGAAGCTACATGTATCAAAATGCAGGACACCATACGTTCTCTGAAATCTACACATGCAGGACATTTTATATTTGACCTACACAGGGAATTTTCATTTTTCGATTTTGCTGCTAGGAAGAGAAATAAATTTTCTAGACCTGGACTACAAAGTGGTTTACTACTTTTTGTGACAGAATAAAATGCGGGTTAAGCATTCCTTTGACGCAACATATTCTTTTGACTCGTATAAAGTAGGCTAGTGTATACCTGACGGCCACCCTGTCTATTGCCGTTATTGTGTTTTTGGTACGATAAGATAAGTGTATTTATTTTTTTTCTTATGTCGAAAAATATTTAGATGAATCTGTTTTAAACGATATTTTGCTGGATAGCTACTTCTTCTCGAGTTACTTTAAGGTATGTTGCATGTTTTGTATGCTGTAATGATAGTGAAAGGAATTATGTGTTGTTATTATTACCCTCTGAAGAATGTATAAATATGAAAACGGACCCTAATTAATGAGCCAGATGGCCCAGATACAAACGGCACTAGTCGAATTATTTGAATAATTATATAAAATTATTCAAATAATCTAAAGAACTACTGTGTAATTGACTGACGTTCTATGGCAAGGACAGTGACGAAGTATAAATTGCTATGCTGTACTTGATACGTTTGCGGTAAATTCCTTTTTCTCATTCAGTAAGTTTTATTATAATATACCCAGGTTGATAATCGTACACGTTTTTCGCGTGCATGGTCACAATTTTGCAAAAACGAGTAGCTAATGCATGAGGCAAAGCTAGAGATGAAATAAAAGAACTAAAAGTTCTTATGCATGGCTTTAGAAAGTATACCCTTTACAAAATTGGGATGCCTTTGTATGTAGATATGCCACATGTGTTTTTGCACAAGGAAAATAGTGTTGAACGCCTTGAGTTCTAAAATACAAGCGGTTTCGTTTTGCATGTGAACCCTTACGGAAATTTCACACGATTTCACATGTCCAATCTATATGTGGAATTGGAACACTTCACATTGAAATTGATTTCAAAAAATAAAACAACCTGAAAGCTAGAATTATATTTTCTGCACGATTAACGAAAAGAATATTAGAATGTTAGGGTTTGGAATCCAAGTGAGAATATATACATTTTAAGACCTAACCAGGAACAACTGCGAAAAATGCAGCAGAAGGTCCTCTGGTAGGAATCGAACCTACGGCCCTGCGATTCCGGTGCAGCGCTCTAACCAACTGAGCTACAGAGGCCAAGTCCTGGTTAGGTCTTAAAATGTATATATTCTCACTTGGATTCCAAACCCTAACATTCTAATATTAATTCCACCAAGTGAAGTGCAGAATCTAAGTCATGAAATCCACCTTATCACAACCCGCACACCCGATTACTTATATATACATGAACTTACGGTTAAAGCTCAACAGCTGGCCTCTGTAGCTCAGTTGGTTAGAGCACTGCACCGGAATCGCAGGGCCGTAGGTTCGATTCCTACCAGAGGACCTTGTGCTGCATTTTTCGCAGTCGTTCCTGGTTGGGTCTTAAAATGTATATATTCTCACTTGGATTCCAAACCCTAACATTCTAATGTCAATGCTATACCCTGTCTCCAAAAAAGGAAACCTTTAAAAATTATCCTATATTGTTATAATAATAATTTTATATATATATAATTTGAATGCCTAAGCACTACGCTGAACCAACGGGTGCATGCGTAAAAGAAGTCGACGTCTATTTGGTGAGTTGCGAGTTGCTAGCCACGCTTTGAATGAGGCTTTGAAAGTATATTAATATGGACGACATGGAAGGCGAAGTTAAAGGTATTTTTATTCATAAATATTAACAATAACTTTGAAGTTAAGTTCCCTGTAATGGACCTATTCCCTAATGAACAAAATTTTGATCTAGATAAGTCAAATAACTAAGACAGAACTAAGTAAGGCAGTCATGGAGAACTGTCATGTCAATTTGAGCTCCGCAAATTCAAGCCAAATTCTGGCAAATTCATTGTTGGATTTTATGAATGAAAGTGTTAAGAATCCTACAAATAATGTGGAAAGTAAAGTACTTTCATCTCTTGTTTTTATTGACGAAAGCGGTTACTGCTGGAAAGGCAATTTAGCTCAATTAAAGAATTTCGTACAAAATGACTTAAACTTAATCGGCAAATGGTCATCGCCTGGCGGTGAAACGAAGCTATTTAAGAACACCGAGATTATCCTTAAATGGACTGGGAAAACGCGAAAGAAGCTGATAATTGAAAAAGACAGCGAAGTAAATCTCGTGGCGAACACGCTAAAACGTTTATGTGATGGTGAATAATGACAGATGTGATTTGCTTAGATACAGCAACGGCGTGTAAAGAGTCCATTGATAACAAAGCTAAGCAATCGGTAGCGGCTGACTCTGAATTTTCAACTAGGCTATATGGGCGGCAATAAATGGGATTCAAGACGTGGTGACGGCCAAATTGGATGAAGTAACATTAGCCCACGACAATAAACTTGTAAGTGAATAGAAGCTGAGGTATGTAAAGTACGATCTAATTACGAAAGGAAAATTGAAAATTTGAATAATAAATGTCATGATTTATTACTTAAACTTGAATGTAAGAAGGCGCTCGAAGATAAAGTAAATAAACTTGAAGTTTTGGTCGGCAATCTTAAAGCAGACATACAGGATCTACGAAATGAGAATGGTTTGTTCAAATTGCCCTGGATTTCATCACGTGTCCAAGTCACGGTCCACGCCTAAAGTAAAACAAAAAAACACCGGGAACAATGACCTAGACTTAATTGGTACAATTAACATTCCTGATGAACCGATAACTATTGTTGAGAAACAACCCCAGGATTTAAATAAAAATTTAGAGTTAAACACCTCTCTCAGTTAGCAATAAGACTTCTCGGGCCGACAAAGGATCGGTGTACAATCCTCAGATGAATTCAGTTATTGTATGTATTGAGGCAAGAAATCAACCTAGAAGAAATCCACCGAGAGGGCCACGTACGAGCAATGTTACCAAACGTAATTCCGCTATTCCCAGCCAACCTTTGCCCAAGCACTTGGTACCTTGCCCATTTCTAAGACGGAGAGGCTTTTGCCTAAAGGGTCCCTTGTGTGACTTCCATGAGCACAAAGATTCTCAATCGTTCAATAATCCAACCAATAATTCGTCGAATAACCCGTTCTATTGTTCGTCCAATAATCGACCATGAAGAGTGTCCAATAACCTACAGCGATACCCTCGTAACTTGGGCTATACATCTTATCCAAATATATCACAACCTATTACTAATCATTTTCCTTTTCCTGTGAATCGAAGCCATTTCCCCCCGTTTCAACCCCCACAGTATCATCCAATGCTTCGACCATATGTATACCCACCACCTCTGTTGACATCAATATAACTCCTTTACGGCCCCCTGTCGTGTTCCCCTTAGCACCACCTACAATAACGTTTACTACCATGCCTTTGAGTGTTGTATATCGTCCTCGAAAAGTGAAAAGCAACATTTCAAATAAAAAACATTGTGTAAAAGCGAATGAAAGCATGCATACCCAATTTCAACCAATTATCCTTCCCCTGCCTAGTCAATCAGATAACCAGAATCAGAGTGTAATACCCAAACCAGTAGATGAACAACCTATTGCTGTCAGAATTACCAACCGAGAAAGAGGTCCCTCCAATAATGATAGAAATATTAATAAAACAAACTTGAAAGTTATTAAACTTTTAAACGAACAAAGTTCATCTCGGTTGTGTCTTCCTAAACTGATGATAACAAATGCTCGTTCCCTTTTAAACAAGCATGATGAAGCCTATTCAGTGACCGTAGCCAATGGTGTTGATCTCTTTGCCGTCACTGAGACTTGGTTACATTCTCAAGTACCTGACGAAGTTATTAGTATGCCGTCATTTCAATTAATTCGGAAAGACCGTATAAATGACCGTCGTGGTGGGGGAGTTTGCTGTTATGTAAAAGATTATATTAATTGCATTCATTTAACAGAGTTGGGGAATGATGATTTTGAAGTATTGTGGGTCTTACTCAGACCTAATCGCCTGTCTCGTGGAGTTAATTCCATTGTTGTTGGAGTTGTTTATCACCCCCCCTGGATATGATAATAAAGATCTAATGAGTTCTATCCAATCAACTTTAGATAGTATCCTTGATTCCTCTCCTAATGCGTCTATTATTCTGACTGGAGACTTTAATCATTTTAACTATCGAGATTTGTATTCCTCATTTAACCTAAAACGACTTGTTAAAGTACCGACAAGAGGTCAAAATATACTTGACCTAGTCTTAACCAATCTCCATAAATACTATAATCAACCTGAAACCTTACCTCCAATTGGAAGTTCTGACCACAATGTAGTACTTCTATCTCCCAAGACAACTAGACCAAAGGGAAAGAAATCAAAAGTGCTTGTGCGTGATACCTGCAGTTCCAAGAGACACTTGTTTTTGAAAAAATTAAAAAACGTGAACTTTACTCCAGTTTTGTATCAACCATCGTGTCAACAGAGGTATGAACTTTTTGACTGTATCTTGAATGACGTCATTGATAAAACCTTACCATTTAAGTCCGTAAAAACCTATTCCCTGGACAAACCTTGGATATCCACAGAAATTAAACGAGCTATAGCTGAATGGCAGAAAGCTTGGAGAGTATTGGGACCACAGTCACCAGAGTTTCGATCGTTGAGAAATAAGACAAATCGATTAGTGAAAAAAAAAAAAACAACAACAACGCTATTTTAAGAACAAAATCATGCAGTGTGGAAAATCTGATAATCGGCGGTGGTGGAAAGAAGTGAAACGCCTTGCTGGAATGAATAATACTAGCCAAGTGTCTAGCATTCTTCACAACGACTGTTTGCTCAAAGGAGTCGACTCTCGTTAGATATGATGGAAATAAAGTCAGACCTCAAACAAATGAGCACATTAATGAAAATTTTTTATCACGAATCTACTCCAGTCAAGCGCCGTTCCACCGATCATCTTTGTAGTGTAAATACATGTGAAGTAGGCATTCAAACGGATATCGAATTCACTCAATATCCTAACCAGAGGGGAGAGCGTTGTGCAAGCAGGTGTAATGAATTGTCGACTGAATTCGAGGGCTTAAGACTCGATTTGGTGATCTCCGAGTCGAAGATTGATAACAAAATTCGAATCAATGGCGATGCAATAAATCAAGTTCAGGCAGAATTCGCCATTATTCAAAATCAGCTCGGTGAAGTTGTTCAACAGGTCGATCGTTTAGTTAACACAAACGAGAACAACAACACCAATAACAATAGCATTGCAGAAAGTATTGTTAGAACGGCTAATGAGAACAATGGTCTTATCAATACTATCGAAACACTATGCAAAGGGCTGAAAACTATGATAGCCTTGTGTAATGCAAATTTTGTTAATCACTCAGATCAACCAACAAGGTCTTAGCTAGGATTTTAGATCTTGGGCGTGTTTCTAAATGACCAAGGTATGCACATGCCAATAACCGGTACCTTGAATAGCCAAATTCAGGGTTCTAGTTATGCCTAACCAACAGACAATGCCTGTGGTTGTTCTATGCTTTGGAACCAAATACAAGGCGAGGATACGCTCATATTGCGCACTGACATTCAAGAATTAAGTTCTTTCAATCAGCAACTCTTGGGGGTATTTAAAACCATTTTACAGTAACACCAGATCGTTATAGTGTGTACTTTTTTACGACATAAATATAGGAAGAAATTATGTCCGTAACACCTCATTTTTTGAACCTACCCAGCCTTATACAAATAATGAAGCCGCGTTCATTATATCTAGCCGTGTTTTTCCATTTTTGCCCGTGATAACACGGCCCTCTAGCTAAGACCCTGTCAACCAAGCGTCTCGCCAACTTCAACACTTGACCGAACTAACATCACCCCGTCATCAACAGAACCTATACAACAACAGCATCAAAGCCTAAATCCCTTTGCAGTTTGTAACTTTCAGGACGAATCATGTATAAAATCTTTCGTCACAGTTGAGGAAGCCAGTATAACATCAGAGGCTCTTAGCCTTGATAACACCCTATCGAATTCCTATCTCAATGTCATATCCATTTTGGATGATCAACAAGCCGGCTTATCCTCACCTAATGGAAACTCCACCACAGTCGAAGAGATCGGTACAGGCATTGACCAAAATTATAGTCCGTCGACTATGCCCCCATCGTTTGATGATCAATTGAAGGAATATCGTACTAAGCACTCTCACACCGACAGAATGATAGATGTCCATAATAATTCTGGAATAACACACCAAAAAACTACAAGGAAAGCAACCCGAAACCGCAAAAACACTAGATCTAGTCAAGTCAAATCGAAGCGATGCAATTATATGCCACAACCCATATCACATATAGATACCTCTGCATATAACCGGAAAAATTTTCGGAAGAATTGCTCTTCAAATCGGCCACCGGACTGGGGAAACTACCTGATCCTTGTAAACAAATTAACGCAGAAAACAGAGTTAAGACAATCGACAAGAGTTTAAGTTCGAACATTGTTACTATTAATGCCAAGGCCACTTTTAATATACCTATTAAAATAATCCCGATGCCGATATTGCCCTATTTACTGAAACTTGGTTGCGTGATGCCTTTCCTGACATTTCCATTAATATCAAGCATTACCAACTTTATAGAAGAGACCGTGTGTATGTACGTAAAAGATTCAATACATTGTAAGATCTTAGCAGATCTAAATCACAGTGATCATGAACGACGCCATCAACGACGCCACTATGAAGGACTACCTTATATCGTCCTTGGAGATCTTAGAGATAAAATACCCTAATTGCGCAATCGTACTAGCTGGAGACTTCAACAAAACGCTCTTCCCCTTGCTCCAGTCTGCTGTGAAAGTCTTTCAACTTAAACCGGTCGTTGACTTCCCTACTAGAGGAGATAGAACTCTTGACCAAATTTTTACCAACCTTACAGAGTATTTTTCATCTCCGTGTAGTTTACCCGCATTTGGTCTTTCGGACCATCAAACCATATTTATCTCGGCTAGAATTCGTGATAAAACCTCCAAGCCCAAACGCAAATTAATTATGACAAGAGATAAACGACCCAGTAAAATAGCAAGTGTTGGTCGATTTCTTCAACAAGTACCTTGGTCTGACTTGTTCTCCCCGGCTCAGTCAAGTGAAGATAAACTTAACATCCTTACAGATATAATACATTTTGGCCTAAATACCATCATGCCCGTGTCAACCATCAAGATACATGAATCAGATCGGCCCTGGATGAACACTAATCTAAAACAGCTCATCTCTCGTCGCCAAAAAGCTTTTACATCTGGTAACAATCCTCTCTACAAAATTCTAAGAAACAAAGTCAACCAAGCATGCAAACGCTGCAGAAAATCCTACTACGTTAATAAAGTTAAAGGTTTACGAGATTTCAAGCCCCGTGACTGGTGGAGAGAAGTTAAACAGATTTGCGGCGCCAGTAAAATTCCAAAACGGGACCTAACCTCATTACTCCATCCAAACCTTGTCTGTGATAAGGAATCTCTGGCTGAAAACATCAATTCGGCGTTTGTCAACATAATGAATTATTATTTACCCCTGTCAGACTGTATACGTGTAGAAGTGGCTGATGATCGACCAATATTTGTGACTGAACACTCTGTCGCAAGAAAGCTTTTAGAGCTAAATGCTTCTCGTGCTAGTGATCCCGACAACCTCCCTAACTGGGTACTTAAAAATTTTGCGTATATTCTAGCGGCCCCAATTGCTGATATCCTAAATACTTCGTTCTTGGAATGTAAAGTTCCTGACGCATGGAAACTTGCCAATGTCTGTCCTCTGCCTAAGGCATCTTCTCTCTGCAACATCAATGAGAATTTAAGACCAATCTCTCTAACACCCACCCTCTCAAAAGTTGCTGAGAGCTTCATCATAGACATTGCGTTGAAACCTGTTCTACTACCTATTATCGACCCAGGCCAATTTGGGTTCATCCCAGGATCGTCAACTACTCTAGCACTAATCTCTATGTTCCATCATTGGTTACGAGCTACTGACGGCACCGCATCCACCGTAAGAACCATACTTTTAGATTTCCGCAAAGCTTTTGACTTGGTGGACCATAATATTTTAGTCGCCAAACTGTTTAGTATAGGCGTAAAACCCACGGCCGTCAATTGGATAATTGATTTCCTAAGACACAGAAAGCAGAGGGTTAAACTAAACAACATCGTTTCCGATTGGCTTGACGTCCCAGCAGGAGTGCCTCAAGGAACTCGTCTTGGTCCCTGGTTGTTTTTAGTACTAATCAATGATCTTAAGCTACCTCAGGAATCCTTGCCTATGTGGAAATTCGCCGATGATTGCACAATCTCTGAAGTGATACCACCCTTCAAGCAAAGCTCTCTTCAGCAAGCTGTTGACTATATCGATGCATGGTCTCAAGAAAATCGATTACAATTGAAACCAACTAAGTGTAAAGAAGTACGATCATGTTTCAAGAGAAACCCTCCATCATTCCCTTTAGTCGAACTAAATCATTTCCAGTTAGAAAGAGTTAGCGTGGCCAAAATTCTTGGCGTAACAATCCGGGACGATTTTAAGTGGAACGACCATATTGGTATTGTCACCGTTAAAGCAGCAAAACGACTGTATCTTTTGAGTCAATTAAAAAGAGCCGGGATCTGTCCAAAAGATCTTATCACTTTTTACTGTAGTGCCATCAGATCACTCCTGGAATATTCGTGCCAGTTGTTTCATCGGAGTCTCCCTAACTATCTGTCAAACGAGCTTGAGAGTATCCAATGGCGCGCTATGCGTATCATCCTCCCAGACTTGAAATATGCTGACGCGCTAAAAGACGCCGGCATTTCCACTCTCTTCGACAGACGAGCCCAACTATCAAGTCATCTTTTTGAAGATATTGTTAATAAACCGGATCATAAGCTCAGTGGCCTACTTCCACCGCAAGCACATCATCATAACGATTTAAGGAGTGAACGAAGGTTTAATGTACCTGTTAGTAAGACGGATCGTTTTAAAAAATCTTTTATTATTAGTCATAGCTCAAATATATAAATTTTAACAACAATTAATCTAGGTGATAAATTGACTTACTCTTATTTTTAATTATTCAAAATTGTTGTAATAATGTATAAAACTCAATTGTTGTAAATATTCACATAATTCAGTCTACGACTGCAAAGTGTTTTATTTGAATAAACGAATCTAATCTATTAGACAACTTGCATGTTAGACAAATTTTTGATCTAGCCGATCTAGGCAAAAAAAAGTAAATTCCCGTTAAGAACTTATTAAAATTAGTAAACTTGCAAAATTTGGTTGCGAAATGTTGTAAAGCTCGGAAAATATAGCTTTGCAAAGTTTGCATATTTTCAGTATATTTGTATTACGTGCGGAAATTGTTACCATTTTCGGCTCAAAAATGGTAACAATTTCCGCTCGTAATACAAATATACTGAAAATATGCAGACTTTGCAAGGCTATATTTTCCAAGCTTTACAACATTTCGCAACCAAATGTTGCACTTTTACTAATTTCAATATGTGCTTTTTAGCTGTGGTGTCTGATTCCCTTTTCTCTGCTTAGATTAAAATTTTGTCTAACATGCAAGCAATCTCGCAAGCCAGGGTCTTTTACCTACGCTCGGGCTCCGGCGAAGACCCTGGTTCCCTCTGGTCACGTGACCTCCTAAAAAATAGGACAACAAGAGGTCCTAGGGGAGGGTGGTTGAAATGTGATATGTTGTAATTTACAACTTCCGGTTAAATGTTGTGTTTGCCAGGCCCGCCGAGGAGTGACTGTAGAAAAGCTACGAGAAGTGACTTCAACTGTAATATGCAAAAACATTCAAAATGCATTATTTTTCTTATTTGTTTGCAGTTTTCTATTATAAATATTTTGTATGCAAACACTATTTTGAAGCCCAAGCACTTATTTGCTTAGAAAAGCTGTCCTTTGGCGTGTATATACTGGCAATTTTTCCAATCGGTAATATGGCGAGTCGCTATAAATTTACCAGCTTTTGCGTTTGATGCTTTTCGCTAAAAGAGCGTTAGAAGAACGTCCAACTCATGGCGTTTGTGTAAATGAGTAATACTGCTCGTTACTGATATATCGCCAACGCGCCTTTGATAAACAATCCAGCTCGAAAATTATGTGTGATAAAACTCAGAGTATCAGCAATAAATGTTTTTCAGCAGCCATTAAAATGTGACAACGAAGAGATTGATTGCGATGTAGCTGAACTTGACCAAAAGACAAAACTATTCTACTATACATGTTATTTTTCAATCATCCATTATATTGTTATCTCAATTTTGTTCACTTTATGCCAAACGTAGTATATTAATTGTGTGTTGTATTTTATAACGTACCAGTCGTTATTGCATGACTGCTAGTACAGCAAATAAACTTGACCGAAGGCACATGAAAGCGGGATCGCTTGGCTTGCATAATTGCTTTGAGTTGGTTGCAAATTCTGACCGAAAGATATGATGAGATCTTTTACGAAAAGGCATTCAGATACAGGCACTGATATTGATGCCTTGGAGGACATTTGCAACCCAATTTATGCTGTAGTGTATGCAAAACACAATGTTTATGTGTTGAGTGTAGTTTAGATATGGAAAGGGAATGATTTTACCTGATTAGACAAATATTTTGCGCCTGTGAAATATTCTTGACTTTGTACCAAATAAATTAACAATTAATCACAAATTGAAATCATATACACTCAATTTACTTCATGGACAGTACAAAAACCCATATAGCAGTGCCAGAACAAAATTCTAAAATATACAGCCACTGTAACCATATAGCTATTTCAATTAAACATTTAAAGTTGACAAAGACAATAGTCAGATGTACAATAATATGAGTGCTATATAAATGAATAATGGGAATAATGATAGTTTTCAAAAAGTTTAACACCTCAAATATATTATGAATACCAATTTAATTTGTATTACCATGAGGCTATTGATGTGTTAAAATAGGATATTTTTTAGCGTTCAATTGTACATTTAACTATATTGTTTGTGACACTAACCTTAATAGCAGGAATATAGCTGCATTATAATATAGAACAAGTGCAAATTGCATGTGCATCTGTTAATCCTTTCAAGCTAGGGTATATATATAGTCTTGGTAGCCTGTGCAACAGCCATACAAATCATTGTTGCTTATTCGTGCAAGTGTTACAGTATTCACAGTCATAATAATTCCTCTTTATCTTCTGATGTGTCCACTGGTAAGTGCTTGGTGAATGTTCCTCTTGCGTTTGTTTAGCTAGTCATCAAATGCAGCGACAATTTGTCTATAATGTTGCTAATGTATCTGATGATATATCTGCGAAGAAACCTTCATGAAAGTGATCATATATTGTTGATTGCAAATGGTTTCAATTCCAAGAGATGAGATAAAATAACATTTTCTCTGAAGATGTGTGCTTGTGAGAGGATGACTTAATTCCTACAGCTATGTCGAAGTTGTTTATCATTTCTGCAGATATCCCTCCAGTCGCTCTACTTTAATATTAAATAAACATTCGATTGACTTCACTGTCTTGGGTGTTTTTTTGGCCGCCATTCTTTTAATTTAATGTTAATTTAGGAAGCTAGATTAGAAAATCCGTCATTGATCATCAGACATCACACACAAGAGTTTCACAATTCACAAATTCTGCGATACGAAGCAGGTTTTTATTTCGCTATTCAGCTACCTCTAAGAATAGGTTCGGTTGTAATACTTCTTGTCGATAATACTAATTAACCACAAAGGTGACACTTGCATTCCGAAAACAAAGCGGACTTCGGATAAATCATCTTTGGAGTTTCCTTTCGCTGTGCCATAGAGTTGAGAGCTACTGAATACTGTACTTTGACTTTGTATAAGTGTGCATTCGACCTTTATTTTCTTTGCGTTGATAAATAATGGCTACACTTCAAGGTGTAAAACAGACCTCCAGCCATGCAAATTATATCAAGTAGGTGTAAAAAGCTTTCAAGCGGTGACATATTTCATAAAAGATAACACAAAAACCGACAAAACCCAAAATATGGGTTAATACAGAGCGTAAATGGCCGTATTTTCCATAGGCATAGTTATAGTTTTTTCGTTTTCGCTCTTGAATTCCCCCTACCACTCCTCCCTAAGTGGCAAAGAGGCGCCAATTCGAATTACCCCTAAAATCTGGGGGTTCACGTGACCAGAGGGAACCAGGGTCTTCGCCGGAGCCCGAGCGTAGGTAAAAGACCCTGGCTTGCGAGGTTGACATGCAAGTTGTCCATTAATCTATAAACAATTGCTCTATTCAGGCAACTGCAAATATACAGGAGGTATCTGTCCAACCTCCTATCACTGAAGTACCGGATAAATACAGAGTTACTGTGGATGAAGTTAGACTGGAATTATCTCGGGTTAACCCACGTAAAGCTACAGGCCCTGATAATTTTCCAAACTGGATCTTGAAGGACTTTTCAGATTTTTAAGTCTTCTGCTCTGTTCCATTTTTAATGCGTCGATTGAAGAAGCCTACTTACCAACAATATGGAAATCAGCTGACGTCTTCCTTCCCCTAAAACAACCCCAGTTAAGGACGCCGCCACTGATCTAAGACCAATTTCACTAACGCCAGTGATGAGCAAGATTGGGGAATCCTTTATTTATAAGTGGTTGTTAGAGGCAATTGAAGATAGAATAGACCCAAACCAATTTGGTGCAATAAAGAACTCGTGTACCACGGATGCCTTAATGTTTATGATCCACAAATGGTTTCAAGCTCTTGATGGAACTGGATCATTAGTTCGAGTATGCTTATTAGATTTCTCTAAAGCATTTGACAAAATTGACTATAATGTACTAATAAATAAGTTGAGGGATATGAATATTCATACTGTATTGGTCAACTGGATCATTGCATTCTTATCTGGTCGTTATCAACGTGTGAAGTTGGGAGGATGTACATCTTGTTGGATTGATGTCAAGGCGGGTGTACTCCAAGGAACTAAGCTGGGTCCACTACTATTCCTGATTTTGATTAACGATTTCAAACCAACCAATGACATTACAAAATTTGTTGATGATTCTTCAATCTTTGAGGTTGTGTTACAGAATGCAAGATCTAAACTAGACAAACTTTATCTAAAACCAGCGAGTGGGTTGATCGTAACTACATGGAATTAAATGGGGGGAAAATACAAAGGAATTAAGGATTACATTTTCAGACCATAATTTTGATCTTGGTAATCAGTTATTGATTAACAACGAGCCTGTAAGAGTTGTCAGTAAGACCAAACTTTTGGGTATTACCCTTTCAGACGATTTAAAATGGAATGATCATATTCAAGATATCTGTTCCAAAGCTAGTAAACGCTTATATTTTCTAAGAATCGTACAACGAGCGGGTTTTGATCTTGTGGACTTAGTAAAAAGTTTATTGCTGTTACATTCGACCAGTCTTGGAATGTGCGTGCCCTATTTGGCACTCTTGCATCCCTGAATACTTATGCAGTGGACAGGTGGAATCAGTTCAAAAACGAGCTCTTCGCATCATATGCAAGAATTTTTCATATTCGGAGAACAAGGAGACTACTACGTTAATGTCACTTAAAGACCGAAGAGAAACTCTATGTCGTAAATATTTTAACCGTATAAATAAGCCAAGTAATCGCCTTTTTAACCTTTTACCATTTAGTAGTGAACATCAATATAACTTGCGTAATGATCGCCTTCCGTCTATTAAGGCTAAAACTGAACGGTTTAGAAATAGTTTTATCCCATATGCAATTAGAACTTATTCGTAGTTTTAAATTAACTTTTTAATAATTTTATATTCTCTTATAGCTTATTTTGAGTATGTATCTTAATTAACTTCATATAATGTAAAAACGTGTAATTCAATCCTTGATTGCAAAACGTTTTATATTAAAAATCAAATCAAATCAAAATCACGGCTTGAAAGAGCATCACAATTACTGTAGTAATATTCCACAGTTTCGTTGCGAAATGTTGTAAAATGCGGATAATAATCCCTGCGAAGTTTGCCGTTTTTCAGTCATTTTGTATTACGCATGGAAATTGACACCTTTTTCAGAAGGCGGTCCAAGTTAACATCTACATGCCGATTTTCTCGCAAATTTATTACAATTTGCTTAGTTAACGGTGGCCTGCATCTCACATGCTTTATATAACGTATCCTGTTATATTTATGCACATTTTGAAGTTTACAATTATATGTTGATCTTGCGTTGAAAGCAATTATACATCTTTCAAGACCAATATTATACTAAACGTTAAACCAATAAAAGCTCGCTATTCTACGGTTGCCAACGATTAGAGTATAGCGGCAGCCAATAGGGAACAGTGATTTCAACGATTGTTTCGTTAACTTTCTTAATGACGCTATATTCGTTCGTTTACGTCCTTCGGTGCATGTTAACTAATAAGATTTCTTCGCTTTTGTCGTTTCGACCGAAAAGACCAAAGAGAACATATATAGATGTTTTGAGCGAAAGCCCTTCGTTATTTTGTCGCAGAACATTTGTGGGTTGAGTTGGGAAAATATACTTGTGTTTTTATAGTGCGCTGCAAAAGCGACACGCGTGGTCACGCGTGGGCGTATAGTGCATGCCAGAAAATCAAAGCGTCCAGTGAATAATTGATTGGTCAATTTTTTCAGATAGTTGCTTTTATAAGTTATGTTGCACTAAAACACACCACAACATACGAAGACATGTAACAAGGTCATCGTTTTCAATTATGGCACATTATAGGTAAACATAAACAAAACAGAAATCGTTTTTATAAACACCTGTCCCCAATGCATTTTAAGTGGGTGTGTGCCTTACTCTTAGCCAGTTTACACGACAAGCGTTTTGGGCACGGCACCCCTAAAAATGGTGAACCGTGCCCAAAATCTTGTCACGCGGGACCGCCCGCAACTTTTGTTGTTTAAACGCGACAAAAATCGGCAATGGTGCTCAAAAGATTGAAGGTGCCGAGACGTTTTGACAAGGTAGTCTTGGCACCTCTAGCTAGCGATGCCGTGCTCACATTGTGAACGAATTCCAGAAGTAATCTACTTCGAGCATGCGTAATTCGTTCATTTTCACATGCGGACAGCCGGTTAACTAGTAAAGGCCAGGAAGTCGCCTGTCTATAGACACAATTTATCACTCTGAACACTAAATATAATCACTTTGAACATATTAATTTTATATACAACTGACATAATTTTTCGTCTTCTGTTCGATCTTTTCTCCTTATAGTCGTCTTCATTAAATGCAACATAATTTTGTTATAACCCAGCTCATGCATAAAGATTTGTTCAACTTATACTACAATCGTATATGCCGTAGTCTGCAGATAAAAGTGGGGAAGCCGTTTTCCGATGTCATTCATGAGTGCCCATCATAAAAGTATAGATTGTCAAAATTGTCGTGCAAACAAGTACGTAGTGAAATGAACGTCTGGGCAAGGGTGCATGTTAGTGTTATTAGGGGTGTCGAGTCCAAAACGCCTGTCCTACAAACTGGCCTTTTTAAGTTCAAGCTGTCGAATCGAAGGCATAATTTCTATGGGCGCTTCTGGTTGCTGACAGCACACAGCTGCCGTGGGAGGGTATAGGAGGAAACCGGAGTACCCGAAAAAAAACCACGGTTGAGCGTTGATTGACCTTTTCACAAAAGTGTAATGAGTCCAGACAAGTGTCATGAGTCCGCGTAATCTGAAGTTCAGGCCCTAATTTGAAATAGGGCCTGACACAAAACCTGTCTAGACCGTGGGACGCCCACATGTTATTTTTAGACACAACATGCAATATGATTGACAAGTGTTGTAGATTTCGTTACACAAAAAAATTATATTCTCATGAACATGTCCGCAGAGTGTGCATTTTGCTTTTTAATTCAACTTAAAAATTCAAGGTACTTTTATATAATTAAGAGTCAGTTTCTCTATTTAACCGAACAGCAAACAAAGATTTAATTAGTCAGTTCTGTGCACGGCTTGACTGCCAAGCTTTCTCAAGGTCTCTACTTGCTGGACGGAGTGGACGCAGATATACTCTAACGACTATTAAACGGGCTAACAACAGCAACAATGAAATTCTCAATCGTACCACGAAGAAGGCGATGTAGCTCAGAAAACAACGCCGGTAGGACCTGATATTAAAAATATGACTTTTGCCAGCGAAGCAGTTGGGAGATCATCTAGATCTTGGCTGTCAAGTGTCAACAACAAGCTTTCGAATACATGACTAGTTTGGCTGTTCTTTCAGCGTCGTGTGTCCAAAATTCGTCAAAGATTTTGCTGAAGCCCTTTCAAAATACTGTTTTTTTTATTTATTTTCTGCCATAAAGCATAAAAGAAAAGAAATTCGAAGAAATCGATAATGGAATTTGTTACGTGCGTTTGACCTTTATATTATTAATTGTCGCCTTGACCGAGCTATTTTTAAAACTGTTGTTTATGTAAACTTGCAACCAATCAAAATCCTTCATGATGCTGATCAACCAATCAGATTTCCCGTCCACCAGATGGACGGGAATCCAACAGTTTAGATAGGTTTTGTGTCAGGCCCTATTCTGTGATTAGGGCCTGAACTTCAGGTTAGAGTCCGCGGCGCGATGGGACCCACGATGAAAGGCGCTTGCTCTGACGATTGTGTCCCCAAAGTTGTGTTGCAATTAAATTGCACTGATGTCAACAATTAAAACTTTTTAAAAATTATGTTCAATATTTTTTTTAGTATTCTTAACAATTGGGATACCAAGTATAAAACGAAAGGGTCGCAATTACTTATCTAAAACATTGGACTCCTTGCTTTATAACGTCAGTGAGGCAAAAGACTTCAGTACCAAAATTGTTGTTCTTCTGGCAGATATAAAGAAAAGTGCGAGACAGAAACGACTCGAAGAGCTATCGTCAAGATATTCTAAATATCTTGCTAATGGTAACATCCACGTGATTACAGTACCACCAAAAGTATATCCACCTTTACATGGACTATCAAAGACACTTCACGATACTGAAGAACGAATGTTCTGGCGTTCAAAGCAAGCCATAGACTTTGCCTTTCTAATGCAATACTGTAAATCGTTCTCTCCGTATTATCTACAGTTGGAAGATGACGTCATTGCCACAAGAGACTATGACGTATATATGAGACGATACATGGAAGAAAAAGAGGGAACGTTTTGGTTCAATCTAGATTTTAGTAATCTTGGTTTCATAGGAAAGTTGTATCGATCCGAGACTTTGGAAAATCAAGCGCGTTTTTTTCGGTTATTCTATACTGAAATGCCCGTGGATCTTCTTTTGTCAGCATACAGGACGATGTTGGGAAATGATGTGATCGAGACGACGTATTTCAGAAATCTGTTTCTACACATTGGCTATGAATCATCGTCATTGTCGCGTTGAGTAAACTATCCGAACAGCGCCATGGTCCGAAAAAAATATAGTAACGTGCCCCTAACAAAGCTTCAGGGGAGGGGTTATCTGAATTTAGTGTTGAGGTTTTAGTCGTCGCGGATATTGTGATGGGGTTTGTGGTGCGTGGGTCATGGAGATTTTGTCGTTTTCAGCAAAGACCATTCATCTGAGCGTTGGTTATACATTTCGGAGTTTATGTGCATCCTGCATCATCGGGATCTTGCATGCATGTGCTTATATTTTCTCATAATGTAGACTATTAACAGTAACACTTAACAGTTTCCTGGTTTTCACCATCGTTAATAAATCCCTTGTGTGTTTGTGTTTCAATATGGCAATTGGTATATAATGAACATTATTTATTTGGCAATTGAATTTTTCGATCTGTTTCTATTTCAAGCATACTTCACATGCATACGGGAGATATCGAAAATGTATATTCAGTTATTGTTCTCACAAGTGGCATTGCCATATTTTAAATTTATTTAAAATAAAATAATTAAAGTCGATGTTCAGTATAAATTTGTTGACAGATAATTTGTTCACTTTTTGTAGTCTTTGCTCTTCTTTTAACTTGAACTTCGAACCTCTATGACTTCAACACTTTCTATACATTTTCCCAAGCAAGGTCCTTTCTTTTATGTCCTCGATGATTGATTAAATGACGACATGTCGTGGGAGGAACTAAGGGTACGCAATCACAAGAGTAACCAAGCAAATTAAAGATCGAACATTTATGTCCTGCTCCATTGCTAGGTCAAATAAGGCTCTTCCAAAATACCAGTCCATTTAATTGAAGGCTCGATTTAAACATACCTAATTGTTCATAACCTGACTAACGTCTTATTTTATATCATCTGAGAGTAAAATCACTAATTTCAACTTTATTGTAGGAAGATGTTGGCTAATGAATTCCTTGATGACATAATATTCAATTTACCTGAGTAATTAGTAAACATTACTACCTTGACTTTGTGATTCACACTTTTACCTCCACTAAAGTCAAAATGCAGTTAATCTAACAAAACCGTCATGCTTCAATGACACTGAGAAGTACTTAATAGGGCCTATTTTCGTAGTATATATATCCTTATCGTAACATAGTAATATTTAGTAGTGATCATATAATTATACATGCATGCAAATTTGCGGGGGGAAAATAATAATTATATATATAAATTATATAATATATAATAATTATATATCGAAATTATATTTACTTTATACTAAGTGATTGTGGCAAAATTCATTGGAAACTCTTCCGCGCTTTGCCCAGAATAATATTTGGGTGCTGAGTGTTCCACCTGTTCCAAGCATGCAAACATCATTCTAGTTTGAAGTACGTAAATTTAAATTATATTTCTAGATCTATTTCTTGCGTATATTATAGTAAATTTAGCTTAAAGTGCCTATGACACGAAATTTCACCCCAAATGTTTATGGTTGCATTGTAAAGATCACCTAAAATGACTTAATAATTTCCTTTATAGAATTTTCATTGGTAACTTTCTCCCTTTTCAAGATATTCAACTTCGTCCATATGCAAATATCACCGGTGTGACATCACATCACATAATGAGTTTTCAGAAAAGTATAGTTTTCTTGACGAATACGTATCTAAAAAACTTAAAAATTGCCTTGAATATGTATTAATTTCATAACTGGTAATTAACCCTCTGTATTTTTTTTTTTAAATATTTTATCAAGGAAAAATATTGCGTTTTCAAAATGTCATTATGCGATGTGATGTCACACCAGTGATATTTGCATATGAAACAAAGTTGAATATCTTGCAAAGGAAGCAAGTTACCAAAATTCTATAAAAGAAATTATTAAGTCATTTTAAGTGATCTTTGCAATCATAAACATATGGGGTGAAATTTCGTGTCATAGGCGCTTTAAAATTTTGGTTTAGTAAAAGCCGTTTCGTAATAGAATTACAGAGCATAAATTCTCAGCATAAATATGGCTATAAGAAGAACAAGAACTTACAATATCAATGGACGCATTTAACAACAATAAACTAGATTCAAGAATAAGAATTTAATTTAAAAACGAATACTCTTTTTATGTTATAGAAATAATACATCTCAAACCCTTTAATTCAATTATGTAATAATTATACAATGTTACTTGCCTGTAGAATCCCATATACCATATTGCACAATAAATACCAAACATATTCATGCAGTTTACGTTTTGGTGTTCGTAAGGTTTTGTTTGGAACCTTCGAACTGATAATTCTTTTTATTTCACCATGATATAAATATATACACAGTGATAAGATGAAAAAAATGTTTAATTTGTATTTGAACAATCTAGTAAGGAAATTACCATGAAAGTATACCGTAAGTTCGTGTATAAGGATATTTACATTTCAAAAATATGCGCTTATACTCAGTTAAATGCTATTCATGCAGAAATTATTCTACCGTCTTTCTGCGTATTTATTATATTTTAATTACATATGTACATATTGAATTATACTTATTTACAATTTTAAAAAGTTGAAATAAAGTTTCCATTTAATTAATGAATAAATTTTTCACCGAGCATAAAACAAATATGCATACTTTCTCCTCCTATTTCCATTTTATAAGACTTTTAATTTTTATTCATTCTGTGGATCACATGGATATAATATGACAATGTTGCATCGATCAAAATTTACTTAGCACCTCTTGGAACTTTTTGTCATCGTATAAATTAAGATTAATATAAATACATGAGTCATGCATGGACCACCGCAGTAGTAAGTGTCCCTTTAGTCCAAAATTAACTGAAAGGATAAGTTTTATAAGATCTCGTCCACAACAGAACCAGAACAGGTAATGACCACCATCGGAAGATAATACAGTATAATCGTATGATTTCACAAATAAATCACCGATCACGAGGATTTTCAGCCAAGGCAATTGCACTTTCTGTACATTGGTTTGTTTGAACACGGCTTAAGCACTCCATGCTTGGCCTTGGCCATGTGTTTTTTCACCGATCTTCAAATTTGACTAGATTAATTAATAAACAGATCCACTCAGTATAAGACCGTAGACGCATGCATTTCGCTTACATTGTCTCAAATAACTACGACGCACTACTTGTTACCACCTTATTAATCAACTTCTTCCTGATGCTGTTCTTGAGTCGTTCTGCGGCGACCATATCTTTCTTCTGCAATGCTTCTTTGTAGTGTGTATGTAAATGTGTCTGTAGGGAACCAGATTGGGAGAATGCCTTGGAACAATGCCAGCATTTATAAGGTTTTTCTCCAGTATGTGTTCTGAAATGTCGTTTGAGATCAGTGGACCGAGCAAAAGCCCTCAGACACTCTGCACACTTGTATGGTTTCTCGCCAGTATGGTTGCGTAGGTGACGTTGAAGATCCGTAGAACGGACAAACGCACGTGAACACTGCGTGCATTTATATGGACTTTCACCTGCAAAAGAATGAGGCCCTATATTAGGGGATTATAGATTATTCGCATCGGGAGTTTTAATTAAGCAACGAATACAGAGTGTTATATCTTTAAATAGCTGAATTATTGGGATTGGGATTTGGAATTTATAATTATTAATCTATTCTATTTTTTACGGATCTTTGTTGAGAGGATGCGCAATTGATACGCAGTTGCAAGTGTAAATTGACTTGTGGTTGTGGTTGTAGAACAAAGTAGTATTCATTTGGTAATTACAAATTAATTCATCAGACTGATTTCACAATTATTTGCATGATTAAGAAAGGTGAATGTTAAAATTCGTCACATCAGCCTGCGACGACTCGCTAGCTAGACGATTTGTAGGAAGATACAGATTGATTTTGCGTAATTTATAATACATTTAGAAAGCCAGTCACATGAAGAGAGAATCAATGAAGATAACATCAAAACAGTATGTAATATACAATCTTCGAACAGAACCTATTACAGTTGATTTCACATAACTTTTCCCTAAATGTTGCAAAGTTCGTTGCGAAGTTCAAAAGTTCATAATCATATTCACAAACCGTTTGTAAACAATGCATTTGATTGGCTTCTTTTAGTTCAGGGGCCAATCAGAGGCTTTGTTTACAATCCAGCTTGTGAATTTCAATATGAACTTGTGAACTTCACAACGAAGTTGGGAACAAAGTTCGCAACATTAAGCCGGAAAAGTTATGTGAAATCGACTGTAAGTCCTGTTAAACCTTTACCTGTGTGTGAGCGCATGTGTCTTCTCAGATAACAAGGATACTGAAATGCCTTCACACAATAGGTACATTTCCACGTTCGTCCCGTCTTGTCCGGGCAAACATACTTTACATGGCGCTCCAGATAACTTTCATAGGCAAAGATTTTGCCACATTTATAACACGTAAAACTTTCGCTGTCTGTAAAACCAAATGTGAAAGTTAAGTTAAATTAATGTTGAATTGCAGCATGAGCTCCACGTTGCAGCATGAGCTCCATTTATCATACGAGCCGGCGGCTAAAGTTCACCAATGATCGCGGGCGTGGCTCACTGTGCGTGGGTGGTCATCCTCACTGATCTCAAAAATATGGCGGACTGTCATGAATAGCGAACACTGTGATTGGTCCAATTTAAAGTTTGCATTATAACGACTGCATGACGACAGCGAAATAGCAAACATTTCTTGATTTGATGATTGATAAATTTCTTGCAAAAATATTCCAATTTTTGCTTGCATTTTTGCAAGTTTGTAAATTTCAAGAAAGAAAGGGCGAAAGAATCGGCTAAAAGAAGGGAGCCGATGTTAACGAAGGTAAGTATGTTTTAAATATTGATTTTATAATTGCTTTAAAACCCGACGCCGACGGCCTTTGCGTATATGAAACAACTAAACAAGACAGCATATAATTTCAGTGTATCTTTAATATTGATTCCATTTTTTATTATATTCAATTTTTTAAATAAAAAAGAAAGCAAAGTTATTTGCATGCGAGAATTTGAAATCATTTTATTGCAAACTCAAAGTTTATCGAAAAAGCCATCAGTTAACTAGAAAATACATGCATGGAGAAACCCTCGCCTTGCTGACAAAACCATTGTATTTTCCAAACATGAAGTATCTAAAGTATATAGTTGTGATGGTAACACGATAATTTTTAACAATATTCTTACAAATAAAAAGTCGCCTAAAAATGTCACTTTTAATTACAAAATTATCAATTTCCCAACATATATATGTTACGTATGTTATTATACGTAATATCAGCTTCAATTTAAGGTAAAATTCAACCACAAACGCTTCGCAAAATAAACTGCCTTTAGGGCTTTATTAAATGGCTTTATCGATGAACTTTGAGTTTGCAATAAAATGATTTCAAATTCTCGCTTGTAAATGACTTTGCTTTCTTTTTTATTTAAAAAATTCAATATAATAAAAAAGGGAATCAATATTATTAAAGATACACTGAAATTATATGCTGTCTTGTAATAGTTGTTTCATATACGCAAATGCCGTCGGGTTTTAAAGTCATTATAAATCAATATTTAAAACAAACTTACCTTCGTCAACGTCGGCTCCTTTCTTTTAGCCGATTCTTTCGCCCTTTCTTTCTGAGAAACCTTTTGAAATTTACAAAATCTTGCCAAAATGCGAGCAAAAATGAAATGTATTTGCAAGAAATTTATCAATCATCAAATCAAGAAATGAAAAAATGTTTGCTATTTCACTGTCGTCATGCAGTCGTTATAATGCAAACTTTAAATTGGACCAATCAGTGTCCGCTATTCATGACAGTCCGCCATATTTTTGAGATCAGTGAGGATGACTACCCATCGTTGGTGACCCACGCCCGCGATAATTGATGAACTTTAGACTTCGCTAATGCTTTCGTTTCCCCGAGTGTAAATAGCCGGGGGGAATTAGTACCCTCCACGGCGCTTCGCGCCGTCGGCTCCAGGATTAAAGGTAGTTTAGTTTTATAAAGAACACTTTAAAACGTTTTGCGAAGCTTTGGTGGTTTTTAAAAATATCTACTTACAACTTTAGTTAGTCATTAATCATATGCATGTGCAGGCAGAAATGTCACTCTGTGATATTGTAAACTGTTATCGTAACTTATCTCAACACCCGTTGCAGACTTTGGACTTATGCAGTCTGGCAGTCGAAAGCTATATATTTTAAATCAGAGAACGTCAAAAAATCTCAATTTATCAAATCCTTTTGGGCAATTGTTCATCGAAATCATATCCTTGGACGTCAACTTGTGAACGAAGACCACGGCTTGTTCAAATATCTCAGAAATGTTGCTCATGCATGGAGCAATACGGATTCATAAACTCAAATTATCTCCATCACTTGCTCTCAGGTGGCCTATAGAGGGTTCAATTGCCTTTCATGCGTAGAAGTATACCAAATTATACTTATACTACTAATAATTATATAAGATTTGCATGTTTAAATTAGGATAAGCTAACCTGTGCTACTTAGTTTCTTCTGTATATACCACTTGAAGAATATTTCTCGTTTTTCTTCCTTCGTGTGCCAAGCATCCAGTAAAAATCGGGACGCATCAACTATTGTCAGACCAGTCTCCTTGACTATTTCTTTCTCGGTGAAACGGTTGTTGTCAAGAAAATCTTTTAATTCTCGCTGAATGACGTCCTGATTTCCTCTAGTAATTACGACAATAAAACAAGAATTGTATTTCTAAAAGATCAAGCATGATATACGTCAGGCAGTAGAGAACTTACAGAATTATCAAAACAAAAACATACCTTACTATTACACCTTCCTTATACTTATACTATTTTACCTTACTTATTAACAACCTTATACTTGCATATATATATATATATATATATATATATATATATATATATATATATATATATATATATATATATATATATATATATATATATATATATATATATATATATATATATATATATATATATATATATAGAAAAGGTTTCAATGTGCAACCAAAAGAGACATTTATAACGTAAAATAAAATAAAAGCCACTCAAATTTTGCACAAACGTTTTCGCTTTAATGTTAGCTCCTCAGGTGCATATTTACAATGAGTGGAATTTAGTTTATCTGTTATCTACGTTCTATGATATCATATTATAATAACTATGTTAGGAATGCATATATTTACATGGTGTGAAGTCACCCGTTAAAAACATTCTATTGATCTGAATGTAAGCATAAACTTAATGGTTTTTTAATTAGCGTTCAGATCCGGATTCAGTATATTGATAAGTTCTTTTTCTTTCATCTCCCTAAAAAGTCTGTCCGTGTTAATGCATTGATATATAGGCATTATTTTGAAAATTCCGTTGTTACACATATTTAAGTGTTCGCTTACTTTTAGATGTCTATACTCTTCGTGTCGAATTTGTTCCTTGTGCAATGTCACTCTTTTTCGTAAGTTTTCTGTCTGGCCGACGTAGAAGCTGTCGCATTTTGAGCAAATGATCACGTAAATGACATATCTCGCTTTGCAGTTCATCGTTGAATTGACTTTCCAGGTTTTTCCGCTCTTTAATGTAACAGACTTTCCTGTGATTAAAACATCGCATGTTCCACATCGCTTTTCCTCGCATTTTGTTACGCAGTGTTCTCTGTCCTCTGAATTGAATTGTGCTTTTGTCAAGTATCGCTTCAAGTTCTTCGGTTGGCGTTTGCTTACAATGAGTTTTGTTCTGTCTAATACTCGTTTCATTTTCTCGGAATTGTTTAGAAATTTAAAGTTCTCCCTTATTTTTCCAATTACTTCAGGATTGTTGGGATTATGAGTTATTACTAAAGGCAAGACATTGTCATCAGTTTTATGTTTTGGTGCCCTCAATTCCTCAATGTTTTTTGATGAAGCCTTCTGTATTCCGTTTTTTATAAGCAATTTCGGATAGTTCTGCTTTTGTAGGAAATATTCTAGTTCATTAAGACGCTTCTTCTGTAAATCTTGATTTGTTACAATTGCACAGATCCGTCTTGCCAGTGTGTAGGGAATGTTTGATTTTGTATGTCCAGGATGACATGAATGATAATCCAGATATTGGTGTGTGTCCGTTTGTTTGTAATGTATATCACTTTCTAACCGTTCCGCGTTCTTGTAGAGTAGTATATCCAAAAACGGTAGTTTCTTATTGTCATATTCCATCGTGAACTGTATTTTTGGATGAAGTGAATTTAACATTTTATGAAGTTCCTCGAGTTCTGCTTCTGTCTTCTGCCAGGGTAGAAAGCAGTCGTCTAAGAAACGTTTAAACAATTTCACGAAGTTTTCTTTTTCGTCCTGTCCATACTTTTCCTTGAACCTTTCGTACAGTTGTGTCTCAATGAAACCCATAGTTAATGTGGCGTACGTTGGTGCCATTTTAGTGCCCATTGCTGTTCCTTGTATTTGGAACAGCAAGATATAATCCACAGCAAGGAAGTACCTACATCGTTGATGATTACGAAAGAATCCCAAGGAACACTTCTTTTTTAGAACAACATCCCATCAAGAGATATCCTCCAGAGAGATCACTCTACCATCCCAGGGAACGACTACGACAACCGCACATGACCAACCACCGTTGACAGAACCAAAAATTATTAACATTTCGTCAAGATATCTGACGGTAAATGAAATACGGCTACTTAAGCGAGGTTTAAAATTCACTCCAACTCCACCACAAAATACAACAGAACTGAAAGCGGATATCCACGAATTCAGTCGGAAATTACGCCTAGCAAAATATTTTAACGATAAAGAGCAGAACATAGACAATTCACTTGCTAAAAACAAATCTAATTTTGTTCCACCAAGATCAGAGGACGAACATCTCACGTTATTTCTTAGCGACTTGTCAAAACTTGAACAACAATCCCAGAAGAGAACTAGGAAATGTAACATATCTACAGCAGAACAGAAAGCTCTTCAAGACCTTAAAAACGACAGCACAATCATAATCAAACAAGCAGATAAAGGGGGAGCAACGGTGGTAATGGACAAATCTTATTATAGAGACAAAATGCTATACCTCCTTTCCGACACAGAGAATTACATACAATTATCGCAAAACGAGGACGAAGTCATTTTACGAAAGATTAAGAGACTTATTAAAAACTTTGGAAACTTCATTACTGAGAACGAGAAAGAGTACATCACAAATTTCCTAATGAAAACATCAAATTTCTATGGATTACCGAAAATACACAAATCAAAAACCATAACAGATGCTGTCACCGACCAAAACAATGATTATATCAAACTGGAACCACCAGCGGACTTAAAGATGAGACCTATAGTAGCTGGACCTATATCGCCCACACATAGACTAAGCAATTTTGTCGATTTGATTTTAAAACCATTATGCCAACATGTACCAAGTTTTATACGGGACAGTATGGATTTTCTGAACAAAATACCTACAAATATAAACGAGAAAACGATATTGGTATCATCCGACGTCATCAGCTTGTATACAAGTATCCCACATGATCTTGGACTCACAGCAATCGAACATTGGTTCGACAAACACCGTGAATCATTGCCACGACCGTTCCCTAAAGAATTTATTTTGGAAGCCATTTCAATTGTCCTAAAGGAGAATACATTTCAATTTGATGACATTAATTATAAACAAATACAAGGAACAGCAATGGGCACTAAAATGGCCCCAACATACGCCACATTAACTATGGGTTTCATTGAGACACAACTGTACGAAAGGTTCAAGGAAAAGTATGGACAGGACGAAAAAGAAAACTTCGTGAAATTGTTTAAACGTTTCTTAGACGACTGCTTTCTACCCTGGCAGAAGACAGAAGCAGAACTCGAGGAACTTCATAAAATGTTAAATTCACTTCATCCAAAAATACAGTTCACGATGGAATATGACAATAAAAAACTACCGTTTTTGGATATACTACTCTACAAGAACGCGGAACGGTTAGAAAGTGATATACATTACAAACAAACGGACACACACCAATATCTGGATTATCATTCATGTCATCCTGGACATACAAAATCAAACATTCCCTATACACTGGCAAGACGGATCTGTGCAATTGTAACAAATCAAGATTTAAAAAAGAAGCGTCTTGATGAACTAGAATATTTCCTACAAAAGCAGAACTATCCGAAATTGCTTATCTGAAAAAACGGAATACAGAAGGCTTCATCAAAAAACATTGACGAATTGAGGGCACCAAAACATAAAACTGATGACAATGTCTTGCCTTTAGTAATAACTCATAATCCCAACAATCCTCAAGTAATTGGAAAAATAAGGGAGAACTTTAAATTTCTAAACAATTCCGAGAAAATGAAACGAGTATTAGACAGAACAAAACTCATTGTAAGCAAACGCTAACCGAAGAACTTAAAGCGATACTTGACAAAAGCACAATTCAATTCAGAGGACAGAGAACACTGTGTAACAAAATGCGAGGAAAAGCGATGTGGAACATGCGATGTTTTAATCACAGGAAAGTCTGTTACATTAAAGAGCGGAAAAACCTGGAAAGTCAATTCAACGATGAACTGCAAAGCGAGATATGTCATTTACGTGATCATTTGCTCAAAATGCGACAGCTTCTACGTCAGCCAGACAGAAAACTTACGAAAAAGAGTGACATTGCACAAGGAACAAATTCGACACGAAGAGTATAGACATCTAAAAGTAAGCGAACACTTAAATATGTGTAACAACGGAATTTTCAAAATAATGCCTATATATCAATGCATTAACACGGACAGACTTTTTAGGGAGATGAAAGAAAAAGAACTTATCAATATACTGAATCCGGATCTGAACGCTAATTAAAAAACCATTAAAGGTGATATCCAGTCGAATCTGCGCATGCGCGAGAAACATTGTTTTGGGGGGGTGCCCAAAACAAACCATATTACCGCAACTTACATGAAGTATCCCACTACCATGATATACGATACTTTGTTATCATGTCGCACGCAAGGAGTGACTGAATTTATGTGTCTCGAGCATGGACACCGAAGGAGATGGTTCTGAAAGTTTACCTTCTTCGAGCTCGAATCCAAGCGAAAGTGGTAAACGAAAGTCATACATTGCTAGCAAAGGAAGAACTAGAATATACTTGTACGAGCAATTCGTTCCATGGAGGGAGTTGAAAGGGGAACTAAACTTTGCTACCGACAAACAGCTTGCAGACTTCTTGATGAAAGCATGTTTATCCGGACGGGAAAGTGCTGTGAAATGGTAGGTTACGTATGTATAATAGTCGTGATAATGTTTTTATGGTTATTTATGATTGTGCTTATTTCAGTCATAGTATTAAAGCAATCATTGGTTCAGATCGGTTAAATATTTGATGTTTTTTCATATTTTAATAGCGACGCGGGCACACAGACAAATGTCAATGATGTCGATTCAATCTTTTCATTTTCATCTCCTATGAGCCCTCGTAAGTAATTTATATTCATTAATCTCGCATATTTCTCGCCTACTAATTTAAATTTTCTTCGTAAGCTTTTATATTTCGAAATATTTGTGTTGTTTTCATAGTGATGTTTTCTACTCCGGTACGTATGAACGAAGATGTCACAGCGACCAAAACACATGACGAACATTCCAGGCGGCAGCTTCTCTCGGAATCCACGATTTCAGAATTATCAAGGTATCTTTTTGTTCAAGTCCAATATAATTGTGTGCTTTATATTGAGAAGCAGTAGTGTATATTTTACTACATCATGAAGACAAAAAAATTGAAAAAATTTTTGCCAAAACATCACAAATTTGTGTCAATTTTCTCAAAGCTTTGGCCAGTAATAAATCTTAATTTGTTTGTAAATTAATAGCAATTGCCATTCAGTGTATCATTATTTTTGTGGGCTTTTATCAATACAAGCAAAGTATGTTCTTGTTACTCAAGTAAATGTGTTCGTCGGCATTCAAATAGCTGCCAATCTTAGACATACATATATATACTAATTGTTTACATTTGGATATGCACGTTTCTGGGCTGCCTAAAATGTTAAGGGAAGCGTCACATATCGATTTTCTAATGAGAAACTGCTAATTTTCAATTTTCATTTTAAAGGCATGATGAAAAACGCTTACCGCTCTCGAGCACCCAGAAGTAGAAGATTCTGACGCTGACGATCACTTGGATTTAGATAAACTGGAACAAACCAGAAGTTCTTTGTAAGTCCTGGCATACATATATACAGTATTCTTTTTTTAAGTTGATTTTCCCATGAAAAACTCTGGAGACCCACCCACTTCCACTTTGTCTGTTAGGGAAGGCCTGACTGCTTGCATGCTAATTTTCATTTTTTATTTTAAAGGCATGATGATGAGAAAACGCTAACCTCTCTCGAGCATCCAGAAGCAGAAGATTCTGACACAGATGATAGCTTGGATTTAGATGAAATTGAACAAACCAAAAGTGCTTTGTAAGTCCTGACATACATATATACAGTATGCTTTTTTAATTACAGTCAATCTACTTACAAGTGTGGAAAAATGTTGCATATTAGGGACCGGTCATTATTTATGGAAGGGGGGGAGGGAAAAAATGAGGGGGGCCATATGTATAAATAAATGACTAGAAGGGGGGGCTATTAAATTTTTCAAGAAAATGAGGAGGGGGGGTTGCAATTAAATTTGAAGGAATTTGCTTAATAAGCATGGTATCCATTTGGTTGTAATTGCAACTAAATCATGGTCACTGGTGTGAAATAGTTTGGATTTATCTTGTCTTCTGTGTGCTGTATGCAAATAAGTCTTTACTGATAAATTGGCAATGTATTATTACATCAGCTATCTTGATGTGGTTAAATACATTTAAGCAAGGTTAACGGCGAATGTACTTTGCAGGCCACATCCACTGATGGGAGTCTGTGACGTCATATCGATTAAAGGGGGTTGTTTCGCGCCTTGTGATCAGTGCTTCGGTCTGGGTATTCATACTGCCATTGTATGCTTTGCCTAACTGCAGCAAGTTTAGCGCTTAGATACCCTTCCCCCACCCACCCCACCCACCCATGTTTATTCTAGAGGATTTTATCTGGTAGTAGGTCATTTTATTTTATATAATTTTTAATCTCACATAAAATAAGATGTATAGACCACTATACACTATATTTTGTTTCCACTGACTTGTCAGTGTGACTGGTGCCGGAGGTATGCCTTGGCAGAATGTCCAGAATTGTCATGGCTATCTCCTTTTGCTGCCAATATTACTGATTGTTACTCTCATTGATATGCAGCTGCTATGGCAATACTTTGTGCCATCAAATCTAGTTACAGCCTTGGACCACAAACGGCACCTGCCTCCAAACACTAATATTAATTCTCTGCCGTTAAACATGGTTACAATCGCGCAGATCAAATGGAAACCTGATTTTAGAGTTATATATGAAAATACCCCTCTTTTATTTATAATTTTCTGCTAACATATATTTTTGGTCGACGTTAATATCTTGTCTGCTCCATATTCTTATTTAATTAATAATTAACATTATAACGCCTGGGTATCCCCATTTGTCGAGTAAAAATGAAAATGGGGGGGGGGTCAAAGAAAAATATTCTCATATGTAGAGGGGGGGTCATCATTAAATTTCTGCTCTTTTAAGGGTGGGCTTTCAATTTTAAAAATTTAGGGAAAAAAAATTCCCCTCCCCCCCTTCCATAAATAATGACCGGTCCCTAATAATAATAAAAATAATAATAATAATATTGTTTATTTGGCTAAATGCAAAAATTTGCATTTAGCCCGGCATTGCCGATTACCGACCTCGTTTTCGAGGACTGATTTTGCCACGTCTTGCTGACGTAATAAGTGATACCGACAAAGGAAAAAGGTCGCTTCGTGCGAGAAAATTCGCTAGTGGAAAACCGACTTTATTGCCTCTTTTATAGAACAGTATAATAAGCAACAACAACAACAACAACAACAACAACAACAACAACAACCACCACCACCACCAAACAAATTTAATTTACCTAATTATGATTTCAATAATATTATGTTTTTGGACTAGCTGCCAGAAGTGAAGATACTGTATTCGAAAAAATTTGCATTGCTGCATGTGTGGTTTCTTTGATGCATGCTATTCGTGATATTTGGTTTGAATTCAATTATTCAGGAGGTCAATTTTGGTTTCTTCGGTGGTTATCTTTAGCCAATCCAGTTTTGCCGACTGAGATAACAATTTGCCGATTAGCTGACGAGTGGGGGGTGTTCCACCCCCCCCACACACACACACCCTGTAGCACCGCCCCTGTTTTGACCAATTAATAAGCATGTTTTGGTTTTAGAAATTGATATTCAAATTCCCCGTCATATTTTCATAATTTGGTGCATGCGCAGACGTTTTTCCGCGGTGTTCACTTCGCCGGGTAGTTGAATTCGTTTCTACTCCGTTGCGAAATGGAAATAGCAAAGCCAATCAAATGCTTGTGTTTTGGATGACAAAATACTGAAAATAGCGAAACCAATCAAATGCTTGCGTTTTGGCGAATTTTTTCTCTGCTGTACTGTTTTAACTGTTTTGTGGGCCTTACATGAAGTACTTACCGTACTTTGGCACAGGAACCGCTGTTGAGTTTCGTTGACCTTGGCACATGGGCTCAGAAGTCAAGAACGGCAATATGGCTGCTGTTGGAAGATTGAATTTCCCAAAAGCTCTTCGGGAAATTCGAATCCATTTATGCCAGACGTCGAAAAGTAGTCAAGGAGTTAGGTAGGGAAAATACAATTTTTAATTTCTGAAACTGGGCGTTATAACGTATTTAGTATGGCATCATGATTCATAAAATTCTAATACATTTATTACTATTATAAATGCATG